GTCCCATTTGAAAAAGGAATTGGGCGAAAATTTAAGATGTATAATAAAATGTATCCTGTATAATAAAAAAGACAACTTTATACTGTAAACGATAATGCTGTATCTTGTTAATAAGTTCATAAGGAATTTAAACTACTCAAATTACATTAGAGGATATTGAACTTTATATACATGGTAGAAAAATGTAATTTTCGTATAAAAAGCATTATAACTCAAAAACCGTTCACAATAGTATTAATCAAACATGTTTATAATAACGTGAATCTTTTTAAAATTAAAAAACATACAGTGTGTCCCATTAAAAAACGAAGTTATAAGCAACTGCCGGTATGACCGGAAGTAGCAAATAGATGAAAATATTTTCATTAAATAGGTCACACTTCAAAATCCCTTTATTCCAATTTTCATGATTCAGTTACCTTATGTTTTCGAGATATTTCTAATTGGCCGTTTATCTGCTGCACCCTGTTGTAATGTCCTCTCGTAGGAGTCACTATCCGGGTAGCTTTTAGACAGTCAGAGACAGAGTTCAAAACAAAAATAAAACTTTATTGTCTTCCTTAAATTAAATTGACAAAAATCTTATGTACATATTTACAATTTGGTTTAGTCTTCTCAGTACCTGGCCTATTTATTCAAATTAAGTTTGACCTTGTCATATGAAATTAGTTTTATCGGCAAGCGGACGTGTATTTGAAATTTTACGGGAACGTTGTATCGATTTAATAACAGCGGACGATAGGACAAAGAAAGGAAAGGAACTCAACACGTCCCTTAAGTGATTCGGGTTAACAGGACACTCCTCGACAGTCTCAACACGACTGCTTCAGAGTATGGGTAGTGAAGAGATCATCACTCTCTTCGGGTAACGGCGGTATAGGACGGAACAACTTGTGAACTCAACACGTCCACAAGCCGGGGTAGGGAAGAAGAGAACCTTCAGTCAACACCTGTCGATTCTCCTCTATGAGGAAATGTTGCGGTTTATATAGCGGAGCTTGGTAATTAGTTTTGCCCTTTCTACTGTCGATATACTCCTACTTCATGGGTTGGTTTGCGCGCACGCTGTTTTAAAGGTGATGGCTTGGACTCATCGTTACACTGTATATAGTAAAGTCCAAGGTTCTTTACCCGTATATCATTAATACCTGGCGAGATAAAACACATACTTTTTATCTAGCATCATTTTCTTCTACGCATGAAACTAAAGACAAACTAGCTACCGCTCATTATTAAGTAAAGACACGCTCTAGGCTCAGTACATCAAAAACAGATAGGTACAAAAAAAGACGCTCGGGGACGTTTCTGGTTTGTTTACTTCTGGTTGGCTATCAGTTTATTGGATTTTTTACTGTTTTTTGTCCTGTTTTTACATTAAATTATTTATATTACAAAAAGTAGTTTTCACAACTAATTTTATATTGGAGTTTGAAATTTTATTGTAAGTGTATTTTATTTTGCCCCTAATTTACATACAAATTTAACCTCATCCCCGCATTTAAGAAATGGTTTTGTTTAAATTTCCACAAAAGTGAAAGAAATGACAAAAAGAAAATATTTTATTGATTTTTTTTTTAGATTATACATGGAAAACTCTCACCTCACAAGTACAAGCACTCGTTTTAAATTTAATCGAGTACTTTGAATTAGAAAAAAGGAATTACTTTGGAGTACTTTGAAGAGGGGGTCCGTTGAAACCGTTGTCGCCTGTTTAAGAGGTACAAAAACTACAATTTTCAAATGTGCACATAGAGCTTTAATGACGCAAGTATATACAGTATAGGTAAAAGTTTATGGTCGGTATGGACCTTACATGAGATGGAGTGAGAAACAACTGTTTAAAAAGAAAGAGGTATATTAGGTCCGCCCTTTATATCACCGAACATAAATGAGTGGATATAATAAAAAAGGGGAAGTTCAACGTTGCCAAACTTATTGGTTTTATTTGACCTGTTGTCTTTTTAGCATTTGAACAATGCTCCAAGATAATTAAATTTGGGCGAAATGGATTTAAATGGCAGCTTAATGTTTTTTATTGGGAATATGCTACAATTTTACTTTACAATAAGTGTAATATAACATTTTGATTTATACTTCGGAAATCGTTTTATATTTATATAAATAAAATTTATTAATGTTTCGTATTTTAAGTATGATTTCTGAATTAAAAATCTAAACATCAATGTAAGCTTATTTTAAAGTCACATTGTGCCTTATTTCCAATAAACATATTAAGCTGCATATAAATAAAAAACCTTCATATAAAACTATTCTGCAACGTATCGTGTCGCGTGGTCAAAGCACCGAATCAAAGCGTACACAGGTACAAATAGAGGTGGGTCGTTGACGTCGCAAAACCGATTTTCGTAAACAAGTAACTATGATTTTTTATTAATAGTTTCAAGTAAGAGAGTACCTACATAAACAAACATAATGGCTATTATCGTTTATGTGTATATTTATTGAAATGAAAGAAACTAATGAAGGATATATTTATTATTACTTGAACGAAAAAGAGGAAGGCCACAAATGCGATGGTCAGATGGCTGAAGAAACACGCCGGGTCAAAATGGATGCAAATTGCCTAAGATAGAGAAGCATTTAAGAAGGAGGAGGAGGCCTATATCCAAGGATGGATGTTTAGGGCTGTATAGATAGATAGATAGATAGAACTTGAAAACTAAACAATACAAATAGTAAATAGTACTTATGTCCGTTTACATTACACGTTATTATTAAATCACGAAGTTTTTTTACTTTACTTCTTGTTAAACGTGTTCTTCTTTTATTTAAAATTAAACCAGATTTTGTAAATGTGAACATGTGTTCACATTTACAATACTTTATGAATATAGTGGTTAAGGTAGGATATACATGGCGATGGTTTTTCCACCATTGTAATGGACTCTCGCTACAGGTGTACGTTTAGATGAGTCATGTCCAATTAATTGATCAAAAATACACCATGGACTTAAGTCATCTTTATCGGTTTCTTTTTCTTGTACTGGTTGATTTTTAATAGTACAATCTTCTTGTTCTTTAATTATAGAAGTAACCAGCTTCTTAACTCTTTCTTTTGTTTTTTTAGCATCATTTTTATCAGAAAATTCCTGCACTGTAAATCGCGAATCCATAAATGTACATAATGACAATGTGCCACTCTATTCTATCACTCTAAATCTTTTTGCTAAACCCGATATTAGTAATTGTACTATGTCGGATAGTATAGATATAAGGTTACCGAGTGCTAAAATTTTATTGCAAGATTCTTGCAGGCAGCATACCATAACAATCACTGAACTACCCTTCAAGTATTTTTGGCCACTCATTGTACTTGTTATTTCTTTAAAATTTAGGACAGTTAAGAACAAATAATCCAGTCTTCATTATTTAGATTTGGTCTAAAGTCTTAGTCTGTATTAACTACTACCAATGTGAAACGGATTGCCTCTTCTAACTCGGTCATTATTTTAAACATGCAATAGGTGAAGTTCTACCTAGTTTCCACGTCTTGGATTGGCCGTTTGGGACCTTTGTTATGTTGTAATTGATACTTTAAAAGCCTTTCTGAAGATAAGGTACTTTTTTTTAAATGTGTTTTTGCTAAATGGTTAAGATCAGACATTATAGATTCGTTGAAGAAATACGTTCAATGATGAACATCAGTTAAAACCATACATGTTACAATTGGCTAAGATGAATCGACAATAATTTATATATTATAGATGAACTGATACGTGAACATAGACACACGTGCTTAAATTCCCACTATATCACCCAGCTATCGATTTAATGCTATCCATTTAATGGACAGATTGCCAGACTTACTATAATACATATATTGGCAGAGATATGGAGATTAACATATTTTAAGTGTGTGGAAGGAAGCAATCCAAAGGTGTAACGATGTCGTCTGGGCAAAGTGTGTAGAACATACTAAGAAATTAATTAAACAGTGGTTTATTAGAGAAAAAAATGTGTAATATTAATATCGAAACTGTAATTGGAGATAATAGTTCACATTATGAAAATGAAATATGAGAAACGAAAAACATACGTCCAAAATCTTCCAACAAGATTATTTAAGTTAAATAATGATTCATTCTTTAAATAATTTTACTGTTACCTATTACATCAACACTATAAATATTGTTACGTAAAAAATATGAATCATATTAAAACCTGTAAATATGTTGTTTATTCAGTAATATATTCTAGATTTTACGACCCTTCGACTAGCTGGCAGAAATTCCAAGTAATAAATAAAAAACCGGTCTATTCGAACGTTCCGGAAATAGATTTAATGAGAAACCAGGCCGTAACCTTCCAGTATTTTCGCCAAGGGTCGACATCCTTCTAGTCTAACAGCTGTATGGGTATATAACGGGATTTTCATTGTGGGGAGTCAGTCAGAAAAGAAGATCGCGACGGGTATTTTAAAATGTAACGATCGTAATAATAAATTATTATTGTAAGATAAATTATTATAAATAAACTTTAAATTAAATTGTAAGTGTTATAAATATAGAACCTTTGATAAATAATAAGAACAATAAATTAGAATTAATGAAAACATAACAATATTATTGTATATTTACAGTATACACATATTATCTATATTTTTTTATAAATTATATTTATTTATTGATTAATCACTAATGATATTAAAAGAACTAAAAGTTTAAAGCAAAACTAACATGTTACATTGTATTTAGTTGATAACATCAAATTTTATAATATAATCCGTACCACAATATGTGTGATACATAGAACGAATAAAGATCTTTTACTGCATTTTTCCATAATATTTAATATAAAATAACTATTTATATGATGTATTTTAAAAAACCAAGTAAAAAAGCTTTCAGTTGGTTATTAGCGAATGTACATATATCTAGGTAGCAGCATCCAAAAATCACAAGACATCTTATATTCAATACAAAACCAAACAAAAACCCAACAATAATAGTAACTAAAGTGGAAATGCAATCAAATAAAATTTCGAAACATACATAATCAGTTTATTCTAAATCAACTTTTAACTAAAAGTAAAATTATATACCAACATTCTAATAACTATAGAAGTAAACAATTCAAAATCATTCCATATATATATTCTAACTGTTATTACCTCCATCAGAGATATTTTCAAGTAATATATCATATGTTTTGTACTTCGTTTTTTTAGCAGGGGGTGCACCATTGCCTGTATTGGATGGCAATATATTAATATCTGTAGGCGTCCAATTATCTTCAGGGTCTTCAATCTAAAAAACATTCGTTTTCAGTAATTACTCACTATATAAAGTGTCACCGACAGTTCGAAGTGTTCCTCGTTGTGAGAAGAGACAGCAAAAAAGTCATATACGAAATTATGGACACCATGATAGCTCAACATTTTAAAATTATTTTCAATTATATAAGGTTTTCCATATAGTGAGAATATACAGAGTTGACAGTGCAAAAAAATAGATTTTTGTGTTAAATACTCTATATATATAAACAACAAAATCGATCGAAATGGATTTGCAGCAGTGATCGAGTTTGGACTGATGATGAAATTTGAAGAAATAATATTTATAAAATAATTTTTTTTTTAATTATAAACATATTTAATTGAGCCATGTGCATAGGCAACCAAATATACACTGTGTTATATGACATTTGTTTGGTTGCAGATGTAAAATGAGGTTAAATATTAGTTTGGGATTTTAATTTAAATATAATTACGGATGTAAAATAGTAGTATATTAGTGTAAGACATTTAGTTTATATATATATATATATATATATATATATATATATATATATATATATATATATATATAAAAATAAGGATCACTTAGATGAGTGGTGGGTTCAATTATCGGTCAACTAGGTGGAGAAATAAAAGACAAAGTTGATACTACTTGATCTATTTGGAAGACGTTTCGCTATCGAATTCTGATAGCATCATCAGTTCATCTAAAAATTTTTACATTATGAGTACCACACATTCATGAAGAAGATGTTAAATAGTTACCTTAAAAAAGATATGTAGTTGTCAATGGTATTAAAAAGGTAGTACAAAAACTCAAATAAATGGACATCATATGGTGATATTGTATAAACAATTAAATAACTAACAACATTTAGAGACTTAGTAAAAATTAGCAAAGCAACAGAACACGTGGTCTAATAAGCATATAATATTTAATATAATATTAACTAGTGAAAAAGAACTAAGAAAATCATTGATTCACTTCCAACTGTGCAAAAAATTTTATTTTAACTTCATCTTAACTTTTGGTAGCATTATTTAAGTTAACTACATTAAGATATAAAAAATATGTATAAAAAAGATATAAAGTGAAGTTACCACTGTTTGCTTGGCACCTGTTGCAGTTGAAATGGCGTTAATTAAAAGGTACCGAGTCAATGACATGAAACAGACAGCCAGCCTTGAGGTCGAAAATTATTCGACAGAACAGCAAGGTTAATAGTACCAACCCACTAATTTACGGGCGCTAAATTTGAAAAAGTTAACATGAGTTTGAATGATAACCCTCCCGTAAGAGACCAAACAATGAAAGAAATTAGCGATAACGCTAATCCCCTGCATCAACTAGTCTAGAACAAACAAGTAGGCAAAATTCATTCAACTCCATATTTAAAAGAGTGATAAACGTCAACAGTGTAGTTGGATATACATCTACAGGTGAATGACGATAAGCACCTAATTTCCAAAAAGTCCAAGGTCCCACGCTTGGAACTTTAATTTATAAAGTATTCAAAGGTTGAATTGTATTTATTTATATTAAAGTAAAAAACCAGAGGGTCAAATTAATCAATATATGAAAAAACGACCAAGTATGCAATGTGAGTTGCATAAGTAAGTCTAAGTTAAATAGCATTAATGTAATAATATATTTTATCAAGTATTAATTATAGTAAGTTAAAGTATTAGAATTATTTATTAAAGAAAATGTGTTGAATTGTACGACTTTAGAGACACATACATAACGAACTGATTGTAAAGCCTAATTCTGCAAAATTAAAGCATGATATATTTGACTCAAGTTACTTATGTCTGTTCTCTTATTTAAAGCATTAGGATGTTTGAGAATGGAACACATTTCTAAGAACTGTATTTTACTAAGATTGCGCTCAGTGCCAAGAATTTTGACTTCATTGAAATTCACCTTATGTTTGGTGTTAATTGCGTGTTGCGCTAACGCACATGTGTGCTTAGAAAGATTAATGTCACTTCGATGAGAAGTAAGACGTCCTTTTAGTGATCTTCCAGTTTGACCAATATAACAAGCGTTGCACTCAGCACAGGGTAAATAGTATTAACTTGTTCCAAAGTGGACAAGGATGTTTTAGTTTTAGAAAACAAATTTCTAACAGTCTTAGCATTCTTAACTGCAATTTTAACTGGTATGTTGTTATGTTTATACAGTTTAATAAGCTTCTCCGTAACTTGAGGAAAATAAGGCAGAGATGAATAATGGGTGGTAGGATTCTCAAGATCAGTATTAGGCAGAACAATGCTATTGACTGAATTATTAGAAATGGTTCTAAGTTGGTCACCATTGGGTATATCATCAAAAGAGGATCCATAACTTTGAGAATATAGGTATTTATTTATGATGGAGGATGGATATGAATTTTCAATTAGAATATTTCTCAATAACTTAAGGGATTCCCTTCGATTAATCGGATGTGTCAATTTATGTAATCTGCAACTAAGTGCTTTAATAAGGTTCAATTTATATTTCATAGGGTGACAGGAATGGTAATTAAGGAACCTATTGGAGGCCATTGGTTTTCTATACCAACTTGTGGTCAGGGTGTTACCTCCCATTCTGATGACACGCATGTCTAAAAAGGGGATACTATTTGTGACAGTGTCCTCAAGTTCAACAGTGAACTGTAAGTGAGGATCAAATTCATTGAAGAAGGATAAGGTACCCTGAACCTTGTCAGGTGGTAGGGCTAATAATAAATCATCCACATACCGCTTAATAAAAGGGATTGGAAATTCTAAGCGACCTAAACGGTCAGAAACCAAATCATCTAGTACATAGTTAACTAGGATGGGTGAGATTGAGGAACCCATAGGTGTGCCAAATATTTGGAGGTAAAATTTGTCCTCAAAAACTAAGAAGTTAGTGTCAAAGACTAGTTGCAAAAGTTCTGCAAAAATATCCCAAGAAACAGGAAAATTAGGTTTAATAGAGTTCCAATGATTTTTCAAGGAGGTGATAACACTGGACAAAGGTAAGTTAGTGAAAAAAGAGAACATATCAAAGCTTACTAAAATGTAACCTTGTGGTAGTTTAAAATTATTTATAAATTCACTAAAATGAAAAGAATCAACAATATTATAATCATTGCTGTAATTATATGATTTGGATAAGTTGACCGATAATTGAACCCACCACTCATCTGAGTGATCCTTATTTATATTGGATAGACGGTCGTACTCCTTTTTGCGATATATATATATATATATATATATATATATATATATATATATATATATATATATATATATATATATATATATATATATATATATATATATATATATATATATATATATATATATATATATATATATATATATATGTCCATGTCCATAAGACTCGCTAGAATTCTCTGGAAACCGTCAATATAGGCATTAAGTTACAGGAAGTCATTAAGTTACAGTCAATTATTAAGCTACAGTCAAGCAAGAATTTACAGTTACTAAGTCAGTTACAATCAATTATTAAGTTAGTAGAAGGCATTAATGAAGTCAGTCAGTCAGTTACGATTGATTAAGTTACAAGAATTTATGAAGTGATTAAGTTAGAAGAAGGCATTAAGTTAGATGAAGTCAGTCAGACAGTTACAATTAAATTAAGATTTATCAAGAAAGTTAGTTCAAGACAGTTATAATTAAATTAAATTAGAAGAAAGGATTAAGTTAGAAGAATTCATTAAGTCAGATACAGTTGGAGAGTATGAGAGTAAATTAATTCAATATAAATATGAGAAAAGGCAGCAAATATTTGATTTCACGCAAACAAATCCTATGTATCTCTTGATACGTATTTCGACCTAATAGGTCTCGTCAGAAGAGCTATTCATAGGGGTTCTCAACGTGAAAAATCAATATTTTCTGCCTTTTAAGAAGCAACAATAACATGGCTTCAATACTGACGCAGTAGCGACATCTAATTAAACAATCGTAAAATAGTTTCGAAACACAATTCAGATTTCTGCTTTATAATCTGAGCCTTCTAAGAATTGCAAGGCAAACAGACGTTGATAAAAGATGTTAAAAGAGACATGGGGAATCTAAAATTTGCATTCCACACGTATCAAGAGATACATAGGATTTGTTTGCGTGAAATCAAATATTTGCTGCCTTTTCTCATTTTATTCGGATATACTCTGTGGGAGTACGAGAAACACAATTCGCTAAGGATTTCTGCTTAGTTGTAAAAGACATGTCGTGGAATGCAAATTTTAGATTCCCCATGTCTCTTTTAACATCTTTTATCAACGTCTGTTTGCCTTGCAATTCTTAGAAGGCTCAGATTATAAAGCAGAAATCTGAATTGTGTTTCGAAACTATTTTACGATCAATATAAATAGTTCAATACGGGAGTATATTATATGGAAACTACAAGAATTTTAAATTATAATATCTATATGCAATTTCACAAATACAAGGATAACCGAGGCTGCTTAAGAAGATATTTAGTGGTGATTATAACTTTGATTTTGGAAAACTTTAGGCATTCAGTGAAAGAAAGGTACCAAATTTTGTTAATATAATTTAATAATTGTAAGATTTCAAATTTTAGATAGGTTGTTTTAAATGTATATTGTTTATATTAGATATATATGTCTGTTTCATAATAGTTATAATAAAGATAATTTAAAAAGTACTTACAAACTAATTCTTTGAGAACCGCGATAAAAACCCTATACTCGTATATTTTATTTTAAACACTCATTGCTCATATACAACAAAACATCATAACAATTTATTAAATCTTTTGAGAATTCATCTTTCAGCAACAAAATTATAATCCGAAATTAAAAACACATAATTTCAAAACTTAATTAAAATAGTTCACAATAATAATGGTTCAAATACGAAATAGTTTAAATAAGTATAGCTTCACTTCCAACAAAAAAAAAAATAAAATAATAAAATGGCTCAAAACACAAGAAAGGGCACATTTACTTCAGCCATTTCAAAAAATTTATATTTTCTTACTTCATAAAA